GGGGGGGGATTCCCTGATTACCCATGTGGATCCCCCTTGGGAATCACCTAATCTGCTGGCACATTGGATCACTTATCCCAAGCTAGCTGCTATGAGAAATCAAACTACATAGACAGTGCAGGGTCCCTCACCAGCAGGTAGCACTGGGGGAACACCTTGTTTTCAAAGCGAGGCAGTGGATTGCTTGACATGGGTGGGCTGGGATTTGACGCCAGGCTTATCTGGAGGGTGGCTGACTCCCACGACTGCTCATACACATGTCTCAGCCTTGGCAGGTTCCTTCCCAAACAGGAAAATGCCCTTCTAGTTTTTATCCCTCTCGAGAGGCACCATTCTGTGCTATCACTTCAAACTCCAGTTCACAAGCCTTGTCCTCTGAGAAATGTTTTATCTTTCCTTCTAATTCTTCCCAGAAGGCTTCACACGAGAACTGCATGGAAACCACTGGCATTCTTTGGAACACCACTTTGCAAATTAAAATTTTCCTATTTTCTTTCGTAATTATGTGTGTGTCATCTTGCAATCTTTTAAATCCCTTCCTCTGAAGATTTTTCTTCCTTTTGGATTCTGAGCAGCATTATTCTATTCACCATGATGCTCAAGACAGTTTCACAGATGATTAAAATTATAGAAAAGTAGTACCGTAGAATCTCAGCACTGAGTAGCAGTTTTCCCAGATTGTCCTTAAATTTTCCCCGGAACTTTTCCAACAAAGTAGCATTCAGCCTCTCCTTGAGCATCTGATTTGTGGAAATCACATTTCCACGAATGGGGAAAGAACCCTTTATTGGAAACTGGAGGGCCAGACTCTGCCAATAAATCACCGTGTGGCTGCCCAGCCCTTCTCTCGCACCTGAATCCTCTCTCAACCCTTCACTTGCAAGGGCTCCCGCCAGCCTCCCCTTACTGCTACTCAGCTTCAACCTCCCCACACTCCTTCAAATCCTGAAACCAACCACATTCTTTCCTTTTTCTTAGAACATTTACTTCTGCTGGAAACCTTTTCAATGCTAAACACTTCATCTGAACGGGAGCCTCCAAAGCCTTCTTATGGCTATCTAATCCAACAGCTGCACCCCACTACCACTCTGTTCCAACTAAATTAGAACCCACTGTTAATTGCTTTCCTGGAATGCCATGTTTATGCTTCCTTAAGTAAAACTACGTGATTTGGCCTCCAAGTACATCTACATGTCAGCAGGTCTGGGGCAATTTGTATCCCATTTTCTATTTTATCTCCAATAACCAGCATAGTACCTAAGACATAAAAGGTGCTCAACGAACATGTGATGACCACAGGGATGAATGGTTTTAGAGAACTCACATCTCCATCCTGTTCTCTAAAATGCATGGTAGGGGTATGTGGGAGTGACAGACAAAAGCAAGGTTTCAGAGTCCAGCTGAATTGCATGTCATCCCTGACCCTACCTCTCCTTAGACGATGAGGTGGGGAAAGTCACTCCACCTCTCTAACTTTCCAACTGAAGGCCAGGATGCCTTGAAGGGTTCTAATAATGAGGCCAGAACGGCATTATCCTGGCTCTCTCATGTCCTAGAAGAGTGTCTTTGGAAAGTTACTCTAGATTTCTGTTTCTCTTCTGACTAGAGGGGATGGTGGGAGGATTACGTAAGTTAACAAATGGAAGGGATCCTTGCAATGTGCTGAATTCCATGTTACTGGCCATTATTATTACTGTTAGAAATAATAGTAATCAAGAGCTTGACAAAGAGTAATTCTTAATAAATGAAAACCATTTTACTGTCACTGCTACTGCCGTTATCCCTAGTATTTTTTTTTTTTTTTTGAGACAGAGTCTCACTGTTGCCCTCGGTAGAGTGCTGTGGCATCACAACTCACAGCAACCTCAAACTTTTGGACTTCAGCGATTCTCTTGCCTCAGCCTCCCAAGTAGCTGGGACTACAGGCGCCCACCACAATGCCTGCCTATTTTTTGGTTGCAGCTGTCATTGTTCTTTAGCAGGCCTGGGCTGGGTTTGAACCGACTAGCCCTGGTGTATGTGGCCAGCACCCAGATATTGGGATGGAGATGATGATCACTATGAAGTTTCTTATTAGAGCTGACTTTTACTAATATAACTTCACGTTGTAAAAAGAACCTTTCTTTGTGATAATATCCTATACCTTTTTCATGGAAAACTGTAAAAGTATAGCTTTTATTCTTGGGGGTGTATGAGAAAATCTTTTCCTATACATGGAACAAGGCTTCTCACTTTACTATCTATGATTCTTCAAATTTTTGAAGCATGAAGAAGTTCCCCTCAAAGTCTCTCTTTTCTGAGCAGAAGAGCTCCTGTCTTTTAACTGTCGAGGGACCTTTCACCATTAGCCTATAGGTCTAATGTTCATATAATCTGACCAACCTGGTCACCATTCTTTCCCCTCTCATTTGATGAATGTTCAGTCTTATCTTTTAATCTCTCATGTACTGCTGTATCCATTAATAGGGAAAGAGGTCTTTGGCATATTGTTAAGGAAAATAAGCAATTTATCTACAGCTTTACTGAATTTGGGGAAAGGGATTTTGTGTGTGCTGTGTGTAGACAGATAATTAGATAGGGGTACTGAGAGAAAGAAAAAGAGAGAGAGAGAGGGAGGGAGGAGAGGAGAGGGAGAAGGAGAATGGGAGGGAGGAAGCAGGAGGGGTATTTTAAGAGTGTTGAGGAAAATGTTAATTCTGGGTATTTCTGGGTGATGCCATTTTTATTTCCTACTACATTAAATGTCTCATTTTTGAACTGCCTGAATAGCAATAAGGATACTTATTTTTCAATAGACTGAAATATTAATTAATTTTTTTTCTAAAATGCTATTAACTGTACGTACAGAATGATTTAAGATTGAATTTAAAATATGAGGACAGAGTTAGGAAAATGAAAATCCAGGAGAAATATATGCTAGGTCTGTGTGAAAGGAACTTTGTGGAATTAATTTTGGTGACTTCTCCACTCCTTGGGTGGGCACCTGCAAGCTTACGGAGATGCTGGCCAGTCTAATAGGTCTCTATTCCACCGTACCCAGAGCTTCTTCCCCCTGCCTAGATTGTGGATCAGTGACTCAGACTAGTGAAGTGCCAGTTTCTGCCCCATACCTAAAGGTCATCTGGAAGACTTCGCCTTGGTTCACATGCTGGGTCCGGTTGTTGTAACCATGTAGCATCTCACCAAAGAGGGTGTCGTTGAATTTGGAGTCAGGCTTGAGGCACTTGGGGCCCTCACAGACATCTGAGAGCATTAAGCAGGATTTTCCGTCAGGGGCCAGCTTGTACTCCTCCACACAACTGCAAGATAAAATAAAACTGAGAGTTAGCCCCAGATCCTGGATGCCCCCATTGGGGGTGACCTAAAACCAATATCTGCTTTGCCTGCAAAACAGGTTAGAGTTTAGGAATAGAGACAGCTATTCTGGCTGGAATCTATCTAGGGCACAGGTGTCTAGAGAGAAGCACATTAATCCTGCAAATTGGTGAATTCAAGGAAAGTCATTTGTGACATTTTAGAGGAGTCCAGGGGACATCAGCGTGCACATCCACACACAAAGCAAATTTGAAAACTGTTTTCCACGAACACACTGACTTGAAAAAGCATGACAGACTAAATCACAGGGAATTATCAACCAGTTTCTCAAATGAGAATCTATTCCCACTGTATCTGTCAACCAAGGTTGAAGACTGTAGCAAAAACAAAGTTTTTATCAACCTTGGAGCTCAAAGGTGAACCTTCCAGGACCATGGACAGCACACAAGCTTCTGTTCAATTAGCAGTATTAGCCACCTCTGTGGGTCTCTAACCACCCACTCCTGACAGCCTTGACATGCCTCTGGGGTAGGAATGGGCTCCTCTGTGGACCAAACAGACATCTGAATGAGGTGCAGAAATAATATTTGCAATGTGGAAATGTTTGCAGTAGAAAAAAATATCTCTTTGAGAGGCCTGGAGTGGAGAAGGGGAGTAGTGATCTCAGCTCCTGAAAAATCATTCCAAACACTGGACATCTTGAGTATCTACCTTTTCACCATCTTATGCCAGGCACTGGGGGTAGGGTACACATAAATAAGACAGACAAAAGAACGTGCTTTACACACAAGCAAAATAAGCATGTCACATGGTTAAGTAGCTAAGCTGGCATTCAAATTCAGGGCTGTTTAGCAACACAGGAATCTTTTTCTTCTTTTGTCGCCTCTAAATCCAGTGGTTTCTATTTGTATGATACAACTCTGGTTGGGTGGTACCAGTTTGAGGCAATATAAAGAAGTCAAGCCTCTTATTTGCTATTCCTCTAAAGGGTAGAGGAGACACCTATTGAATCTGACTGCAAAGGGACTCATATGTGAGAAGGGAGAGGCTCTGTAATGTGGTTTGGGAAGAAAACGCACCCAGGTTGCAGGAACTAGTAGCTGATGCTAGAGACATACAGCTCGACAGGAGGCAGGAAGAAGACAAGCAGAAATGAAAACTTGACCCAAGATCACTCTAGGGAAAAGCCAGGAATGCCTCACGCATGAAGTAAGCTGTCACTCTTTCCTTGCTTCCCCTAACCTCTGGTGAGGGTTACTGCACTGAGGGCCTGATTTTTTTTTTCTTTTTTAATATTCCCCTGTACCAGAGTGCAGTGGAAAGTCTTGTGGAAGAAAGCACTGCTGTAGGGCCTTGGTAAATCTGTCCCTTCTTTCTGCATCTGTTAAATGTAAGTACCTTCCTCTTAATACAGCTGCAGCACAGATGAAGGGAGTGTATGTTGAAATGCACAGTATGTGGGAAGGACTTGATAAAATCTAGTTTCATACATTCATCTCAGGAGGCTCCCAGCAAATATGGATCAATGGTCTACCGGGGGATAACTGGGTAGAGTGTTCTCTCTCTGTCTCTGTTACTGCCTCTCCACACACCCATGTCCCCGTGCACCTGTGAGTGAATATATTAGTGTTGTGGATCAATAAACACTATCAGTCAATAGACTAAAATGTGGAAGTTCTTCATTTTTCTCTCCACATTTCTTGTCCCAGAGGTCATCATTGTTAACTAATAGGTATTCTTTTAGTGCTTTTCAAATGTATTTTAATACACATCATATCCGTGCATATACCAAATGGGGTGGCCATAAAATTCATGGGCAATTTACGAGTGTGCAAGTTACAACTATTTAAATTGCACACAAACTTTACGACCACCCTGTATATATAACATATATAATATAAAACATAATAGACTCGGAAACAGAATTATACTATACATTGTTAGGAGACAGACATTTATACCTAATGCTATTTCTTGGAGACCTTTTTAAGTCAGGTTACATCTAGATCTATCTTTCTTTAATGGATATTTGCCAATGCACAGTATAAATATACCATAATGCTTTTAACTAATCTTTATTGATGGGCACTTTGGCTGTTTACAGCTGTTTGTTATTACAAACAATGCCATAATGAATATCTCTGCACATATATCATTGTGCATATGTGTGTGTTTCTATAAAACTCATTCACAGAAGATGGATTGCTAGGTCAATGTTTTATGAATTTTAAAATTTTGATAGATCTACTAAATGATTTTCTGAAGAGGCTCTATCAGTTTACAACTCTATCATTGGTGACTGAAAAACCCCATTCTTTCACATCTTTCTGGTTCATTATTGGCAATCTGGGCTGGGGAAAAACAACTCATCTTTTTCTTGGATTTGCATCTCTCTGATTCCTGGTAAAGCTTAACACCCTTTCATGTTTGGCCATGTGTGTTTCCCCTTCTACAGATTGTTTGTGAGCTTTGACCATTTTTCTATGGTGATATTTATCTTTTTCTTTTTCTTCATTTGTATGTGGTTTGCATATTTTCTGAGAAGTTATCCCGCAGCTTCCATATATATTGAAATTTTCTTCCAGTCTGTGCTTGCATTTTAATCTTGATTTTGATGTCTCATAACCTCTCTATCCTGGTCCTTGATTGCATCTAAATTTTGTGCAGTGTTTACAAAGCCACAAGATGATCAAATATATTTCATTCTAGCATTTTTTTTTACACATTTTTCACCTATGTTTATTTAAAATGTAGGAAATTTATTTTTGTGAAGGGTGAGAATGGTTATCTTCACTTCACTATTTTTAAAATGGGTAGTCAATTACCTGAAGTGTCCATCCTTTCACCAACTCACTTTAAATGCTATTTTATCATATGCTTAATCCCTATGTATACTATGTATACATGATGGAGGTTTTTAATTATTTAATTATTTGTACATTCCTGCAATAATTCCACACTATTTTAATTATTACAGCTTCAGAGAATGTTTTGTCTTATTTTTGTTTTATTTTATCTTACTTTATTTTTTTGAGACAGTCTTACTCTGTCGCCCTGGGTAGAGTGCTGTGGTGTCATAACTCACAGAAACCCTTGGGCTCAAGAGGTCCTCATGCCTCAGCCTCCTGAATAGCTGGTACTACAGGCACCTGCTGCAATGCCCAACTAGTTTTTCTATTTTTAGTAAAGATGGGGTCTCACTCTTGTTCAGGCTGGTCTCAAATTCCTGACCTCATGCAATCCATCCATGCAATCCCAGAGTGCTAGGATTACAGGCATGAGCCACCATCTTTGGCCTTGGAGCATGTTTTCAATATACTAGAAAAGTAAGTCTCCCTCCCCTAACAAACACTTGTTTTATATTTTAACATTTCCTCATTTCTCTGTCATATTTTTCCCTTCAGAGGAATTATAGAATTGGGTTGTCATATTCCATGTAGAACCCTCATCAAACTTTGGGTGGCATTGCTTTGAATCTGTAGACTTATCTGGAGGAGATGAAACTGTGTTTTCATTAAATAAATATGTATTGAGAGCCAACTTTGTGCTGGGCACCACTGACAAGAGTAACAAAGAACGCATCTTACATTCCCCACACTGCGTCCTCTTCCTGGACACACACTGTAAACTACATGACTAAGCCTCTCTTGCAGTTGGGTTGAACAGATTATGTAACTGGCTTCTGAGTAATAAATCTCTCCTGATAAAACATAAGTCAGACTCCGCTTTTTCAAAACATTCTGTGATTCTCAAGTCCTGTCTTCACTGGTTCTGGCAAAGTTAGATATATGTAGATACTATGTAGATACTATGTCCAGATCCATACTACAGGATAAAGGAGGGCTGCCTTAATGAATAAGAAATTAACTTTCCTGTGTAAGCTCCTGGCTTAGAGGGGAGGGGCTCCATTTGTTTCAGCAACAAAGCTCATCTTATCCTGACTGATACAGCGTCTTTTCAGTTTGGAATCTTCTAATTCAGCAACAATATGTGTCTCTATGCATCGACTGTTCTTTTAGAACATTCACTGAAGTTTTTGACTTTTAGTTGCAAAAGTCACACACATTCTTGTGGAAAGCGCATTCATGAACATTTATGTCAGGCACTACACTGTAGAGGTTACAAGGATGTGTTTTGAATCCAAACCAACAGAGTCCAAATCCTGATTCTACCACTGAGCTGTGTGACCTTGGACAAACTGTTTAACTTTTCTGCACTTCTTGTGCTTACCCATAGACAAGATCTTATCTTATAGAGCCACTACAAGGATTAAACATGTTTGGACTTGAGTGTGCCCTCCTAGAGGGATAACTTCTAGTCTTTTACAATCTTTCACACTTCAAGAGTAAGTTCAGTTTTTCATTTATGTTTTCTCATAGATTTTCTAGTTAGTTATTGTTGACTTGGGGAAAGCTATTACTGATTTTTGTAAGTTGACTTTGCATTCTACCAACATTTCTGGGTGGAGCATAGTGGCTCACACCTACATGCTCCATGTGTGTTCGTGGCCAGGAGCTGGAGGATATAGCAAGCTCTGATCTCACCACTGCACTCTGGCCTGTGTGACAGAGCAAGACTCTCTCTAAAACAGACTCGCATCAATTCTAGTATGTCTACCAGATTCTTTTAGATGAATGAGTACATATTTGCCCACTTGGGATATTGGGATTATGAAATAAGTTTTTAAAAATTGTCCTTTTTTTTTTTTTTCAAACTGAGCAGGCATCTGGGAAACAAAACAAAAACGAGAACTTGTCCTTTGCGTTTCTTTCTCTGGATCAGTTTATATAAGACAGAGATAATCCATTCCTTGAAAATTTGATAAGACCTGCCTGTAAAATCTCCTGGGCGTGGTGTCTTCTCAGTTTCAGCCATTTAGCTCTCTTAGCATTTCCATTTGATCTACTTTTTACATTTCAAGGAAGTCAAGGAAACAGATCCTCCACTACAGTTTCTAGAAGGAATGCAGCCCCACCAATGCCTACATTGTACAAGTGCTGAC